TACTATTACTATCTATAACTAACCCCCCTTTAGCCCCCCCTAAACTATTGTTTATGTTATCCTAACGCCTCTATATCTCTTAGTAATAGTAGTAACGCTTACGCGTAGCGTAGGTAGGGGACAACTTAGTTAATAAGTATAAATAATAGTAGTAGTAGTAGTAAGTAGAGGGTAGTGCTTTAATAGTTTACTAATATATAGCACCCTAGGCCTAAAGAAAGTAAATATTAGAATATATATAAAGGGAATAAAGGAAAATTAATACTAATAATAAGAGTCTTAATACTATAGGTAGTGCGCTTAGTAGCGCTCTTAAGCTTATTAATATAAAGGTTAGTTTAGGCCTAGGTCTTATTTATACGCTAGTTAATACGCTAGAAGGTAATACTAGTAGTAGTAGCAAGCTATATAACGTTGTTATTGCTATAACTACTATATAAAGGCGTAATAGTAGACTAAAGTAGAAATACTAGAGTACTAGTAGTAGATAGAATAATAGTACTAAGCTAATACTAATTATAGGCGCGTAAGTAGGTAGTAGGGGTAAGTAGAGTAATAGTATTATTAGTTTAAGCCCTTAATATAAGATACTTAAAATAATAGTAGAGCTAGTAGAACTATAGGATAAACTAGTAATAGGTGCCTTTAGTAGGTTTCCCTATAAAGGTGCTAAGGGTCCCCTTCTTTATAATATAGAGGCAATCCTCCTAGTAACTATAATAAAACTAAAGCTAGTTATAGAGGGCTTAGCAAATATTAGGATTATTAGTAAGGATAGCTTCTAATTAAGTATAGGTCTTATAGCTATAATAGTAGGACTTATATAAGCGCCCTAGATATAGTTAGAACTTGCTATAAAGAAAATAAAAATTAAGGGGAACTTACTACTACCCTCCTAATAGTTATACTTACTAAAGAGATAAAGCTAGTTAATATACTAATTATAGGGAAGTAGCTTTATAAAGCTACTATTATATTCCTTATTATCTAAGTTACTAGAAATAATAAAGCTACTAAGCAACTATATTTAAGGAGATATATGCTAAGTAAAAAGTTAGTATAGGAAATATAGGGAGAATATTAGAAGTACGCACCTTATCTTAGTAGGCCTAGCGTAGGGTCTAACTGCCTTATAGTAGATCCTTACTACTAGCACTAGTAGTGGCAGATAAGGATATAATAAGGGCTAGATAGGCAGGATTAATAGAGAAAGAGTAGAGAGAGGGCTAATTAGTAGGGAAAATCTGTTATATAATAAAGTAAGTTTAGGAAATTTATAGTAGGGTAGGATAGCTATATTAGAACCTTTATAGTAGGGTGCTAAAATAAGTGCTTAGACGCTATACGCGCGTACTACTTAATATATAGGCCTATTATAAATTAGGAAGGAATATAAAGATATAATAATAAAACTAAAAAATATAGTAATAAAGCCTAATATAGATTATAGAGGATAAAGATATAACCCTATACCCCTAGAAAGATAATTTTATAATAGTTTATAGGGGAAGGTTAGGGGTATATAAAGGGCTTAGGCTTATACCTAAGCCTGGGTCTAACACAAGATAGACTAAGTCTAATACTACTACTAAGCAAACACACTAGACACCTATAAAAAGGCGTAGAGGGCTTACCTCTCCTTTAAGATACTAAATACTATTATTAACGCTTATTGTATTCTCCCTTAAGGCTAGTCTATAATAGCTTATATTATTAACTAGGTGTACTACACCTATATTATTAAAGATAGTGCTCTTTAATAGAGCGTAAGCTTTAAAGTCTATAGTTAAATAGATCCTGTTTGTTTTCTCTGCTATTAACATAGGGTTAATTAGTGCCGCCTAGATACTACCTAGATAGGTAATCGCGTTTTCTTTTGCTTTACTACTATAATCCTAATTAATAGGATAGGACTTGATTAGAGCCTTTCTAATCTCTTTAAATTTTTAATTCCTATTAATCTTTTTCTTAATCTCTAATTATTAAGTAGTAGTAAGCTTATTACCTGTATCTATCTAAGCTTTAATAATATTTTTATATTTAGGAGGTTTCTATAGGTAGGATCTACTATATAGGTATAAAGACTCCTTCTTAGGTTAATTAGAAGGTGGAGCTCCTATTGTTGCAAACACTCTAGGACCCTTAGAGCTTAATCTTATATTATTCTCTTAGAGAGGTAATAAATAGATCTTAGCAACCTATAGGAGGTTATAAGTTAGCTCTTCTATTACTAACTTTTTAATAATTCTTTAAAATATAGTTTAACTATAATCTAGTAAAATCCTAGTAGATAGAGCTTTAAGATAGTCCTGTACTATAAGCTATCCTTTAATATTAGGAACGTTGTATACCTTAGCTTGCGTATATAGGATTATCTACTCCTTCTACTAGTAATTAGCGTCTTAGCTACTTATCTTTGCCTTAGTAAGATAAGCTTTATACTGCAATCTTGCTAGTGTTGCAGCACTTAAATTAGTTAGCGCTAGGTTGTTGCGGAGCACTTAGATAAGTGCTTAGAGGGTTACTCTTCCTTAATTAATAAGCTCTATATAGGCTAGGGTAAGGATCCCTTAATCTACTATGTTGTTAACCTATATAAAGAGGTTTTAGATTACTAATAACTTTAATGCCTAATCTAATAAGCAGGCTTAGTACTATGCTATTTTAAGTTTGTACTGCTTGCTTGTTGTGTTAGATAGCGCGATATCTATTAGCATGTTAGGCTTAATAGGTTTATTCTTAAAGTGGTTTTTAGCATCTAGAGCCTTAGGGTCTACCTCTACCTAGATCCCTTTAGTTAGGGTATGGTATCTGAATTAAATATACTAGGTAGGCCAGTTAGTTAATCTAGTAAGTAGGATATCCCCCTTTAGGATTTGGTCGCTTATAGTAGAAGAGTAATAAGTAAGCTTCTGCTTAGGAAATAGTATAAAGAGTAAAGCTTGCTAGCTTAGTGTCTAAGTTAAACAATACGCTTAAATAGATAGGACGATCTTTAATAAGGTAAAGCGCGAACTAGGCTTATAACTATAGAAATTTGGATTACTAAGGTTAGGAATAATTTAGGAGATGGATTATTAGATTATATATACTACGATTAGACTTATATATATAGAGCTTTAGCTACCCTTACTAGAAGGTGAATAATTAGTAAACCTTCCTTACTAGAGCTCCTGCTTTTTGTTAGGCACTTGGCAGTAAGCTAGCAGTTGATTAGATAGTGGGTTATACAGGGGTATTGACCAGGATTGATTAGGATTGATTGGATTAAGATGCTCCGTGATCCGGTTGATATCCCTCCTGCAACAGTTATCTACAAGTAACTATACTTTTCTGCTATTTCTAAGTATATAAAATCTTCTCTAAGAGTTAAGGATTTAATTGCTGCAAGCGCGTCGTTAATAGGTGCTATAGTTATTAAGAAATTTTGTGTTGAAAACTTGGTGATTTTGGTGTTAGTGGGCGCTTGGTGGGGGTGGGCGCTTGGTGGTGCATCACATTAGTACTTATTAAGAGCACCTTAAAGGGTAGAGTACTTATAGCTAATATAAGAAGGAATCTATTATAATTAGAAAAGAAACCCTATTAGACTTAGATACTAACTAGATTATAGTACTTATTCTAAGAAATATAGTACTAGCATTTCTTAGAATTCTTAGACTTAAAGTTAAAATTGTTAAACTTGCCCTAAGCTATAGCCCTAATGGCTCTTATACAGAGAGCGCGATGAGCGACAGGCAGGACTCCTGGTGGTACTAGGACTGGCATGGCGAACGGTTCTGATTTGGATTAGCGACTGCTCGATCACAAGGATAGGGACTATCCTTTTTCTACCGGAGGGGGTAGTATAACAATAAGGCAGAATTACTTGCCTATTATTCTATGCTAAGTTAGGCCTAATAAAGGCCTAACTTACTAATATATATAGAGAGCAGCTTGCCTATATTAGGATAGGTATATTCTTCTTGTCCTTTTATACAAGACCTATAGGTGTAGGAATCTTATCCTTTTCTATATAGACGCGCACTCCTATATGCCTTTAAGTCGTATAGGATACCTTTTGGATGCCCTACCTACCTGCGTCGTTACACTAACCCTCTAGAAGCGTTACCTTAATAAGATTAAGATACTAGTCTCTATACCTAACTCCCTTTGTAAGGTTTATTAGTCTTTAGTGACCCTAACGAAATCCGTTTGGACCATTTTGTTTTCGATACTGAAGCGCACCCGTTCAGGATACGATATTAATAATCGTTTGCTACTTTCAGGGCTATATCTCAATGTACAAACGGAAGAGCTGCATACCTATATCTAGTATATTCTGATCACTTCATACCAATCATTTGCGTTCGAGTATATTCATTAATCCTTTAAGTTGGAGCTCGCAATCTGTCAATCCCGAGGTATCTTTGCTAGAGCGGCATTGTCATAGTCTTGACTATTAAAAGCAACAAGTAGTAGCTCACATATCGAGAATCCCAAGTAGCATCAAGAGGTTGGTCGCTAATCCCAATTGAAGTATTTGCGCTGCCTCCTGGTCACTAACCCTGTGATATTTGACTTCCTTCCTTGCTATTACTCGGAGCTACTCATACGATGGCCAAACTTTAGCGTCCCTATCGCCTTATGGGTCAGTCTGCCTAGCACACAATACGCAACGTGGTTGTGTTGGGATATAGATCTTTGCTTACGGGTCTGATGTGAAGCCGGCTCATGTTCATAATGCAATATATTAACGTTTTATTTTCGTTCGTGATGGCAAACCCAAATGCTATTGTAGCAATGCCATGCCATATTCAAGGTTTTTTGCATCTAGACATCAACTCTCGATTTCCGATATTTGAAAATGTTTCTTGACATATGTGGAAAACTCCAAACCAAAGTCATAAGCATTGCATGTAGAAGAACTGGTACGTGCCTAGCGAAGCTAGTCTTTTCGGGAGAAAGGTTGTTCTTTACGAATTGGCTCTTACTTTGGTAATACAGCGTGGTCCGATTCTTCAGTAGTACTGACTACCCAAGTAACGCTCGATCGCTTCACCACCAAATTTCTGTATTCCTGCGCCCCTCAATGCTTCCGCAGTGTCCGGTTCCGGAACCCATACCTCGCCCACTTCACAGGCGTAGTAGATCCGTCGGCTTTTGAGATCCTCTGGACCTTCATCTCCCCATTCTGCTTCCTTCCCTGGCGCATGATAGGAGATATGTAACTTTCCTGTATCGCCCACAAGTTCAGAGGTAAGCATGAAGAACTCGAGAAAGGGCATCTGTGCAACAGCTTTGGCGAAAGCGCCGAGGAAAGGGTTGAAAGTTTGTGGATCTGGATGTATGCGGAAGTCCCTGTAACTATAATCGCGAACATCCACACCTCCAACGGTGCCGCTCTCGACGTCGTCATGTGGATGGTCTACTGGCCGCGGCCCCGTGAAGTACCATTCCCCTGATGGAGCTACCATATCGAACGTGACATCTAAAGACTTCAAGTATGGCCAAAAAGGGGACTCGTCCTTAGATTGTGCTGGCCAGAATAGAGTCGAGTCTAGATGCGCACTCAATGTAAGAGTTGTAAGATGTTGTGAGAAATAACGTAGTGCTGTACTGAAAGGGTCGTACATGAGACCTTCCGGTAAAATGCTTGTACGCGTATACCTCTGGTCTGACGGAGACTCATGGTAGAAAGTAATTTGAGCAGAATGAAGGGAGCCAAATGCGATTTTTGAAATCCCGTTTGCAAACTGCACCCGATTCTCACCCCGCGCCTTTGGAGAGGTTGCAGAATCCACGCCGGAATCGGAGTCGGAGTCGGAGTCAGAATTCAATGAGTCGCGATCTGATTCCTCGGGTCCACCCTCGCAGTCCTGAAACTCCCACTCCACTGACGTGAGTCCTGGCAGTGACTTGGCTAAATCTGGTGCCACAGATGGTGCAAGTTTTCGTGGGCCATTGCCGGTGATACTGATGCGCTGCACATTAGACAATGTGGGTAAAGTGGCTGGCTGAAGAAGGCGTAGGCGTGACTCTTCCCAGCGGTCTGAAAGGATGTCTTCTCGCTTGCCAATTGCAATGTCGTACAGGAGCTCATCCTTCTCTGGGCCATCCACGTACAGGCGGGAGTCCGTCGGTGACGCAGCTGTCAAAATATCAAGACCTAGAGCGCTCCGCACACCGTTGTCTTCCCAGGTTCGCAAGACCGTAAAGAGATCGCATATTCCTTTTGTGAATGCTTCGTCGTTGGCTTGTTGTTCAGCTCTTGACTCCTTGTATGCGCATGCTTCTTCTGAGTATGCCGGCAATAGCGCTGTAAAGCTGATCCTACTAAGATGCCTGCGACGATTTCCAGTTATGATTGACTGGAGCGAATCAAGGTCATTGCTCTTGATACCAAGGTGATGAAACGTAATTGTCTCAACTGCCTCCTTCCATGAGCGATTGAGACCTGCCAGACGAGGGAATTGAGATGGTGGCTTATTAGGTATGAAAAACTGTCCTATTGCAGGAAACCATTTCTCCTGCCCGGGGTAACGTTCTGCGTACCACACAATGCGGTTGATCAATTCCTGTGGTAATTTGTCCATGATGCGATGGAAGAAGGAATGCGAGTAAATTGATATTGCGGGAACGCCGCCACTTATGTGCTGATGACTGCCGAGGCGCTAGCAGGGGTTTACATAAGCGTCTTGACCAGCTGGTGAAGGATAGATATATCAAGGGGCAATGTCCAGAAAAGACGCTAGTGCTAGGTACCCCGATAGTAGGTAAAATGCAAACAAATGCATTTCCCCCCAAAACATTACGTGGCTACACCAACACAGTACCAATAATCCTTCCAAAACGAAGTACCACACCCATTGCCGTTATCTAAAGCAGCGTTCCACGCATACAATTGCGTAGAGGATATCCCGTTTCGCTCAGCAAATAACTATTCCCAACATCAGTCTTGAAAGTGAGCCAACGTCATATGCATTAACTTACCGAGCACCAATCCCCTTCCTGCGCCTGTGCAACCTTATTACAATTGTCGACCGCATTATTGGGCTGATTTGGCGATGGTATCACGAAAGCAGTGGGAGTTGGTGACGGCGGAGCAGCTGATCTGCTCACAGTGATTGAGTCCGAAGTCCCTATACAGTACGCTGATCCCAACCAGAAGTTACCGAGACAATCTTTCGAGACAGCCGGATTCCAGGCAAAAAACTGCGCTAGGGTTATGAAGTATTTGTCGGCAAGATTCGAACAATTATCGCCGTCCACAACTATATGCCATCGAACACAGTTCGACGGCTGCCCGCTGTGCGTTGGTGCTGAAGGCCCCAGAGCAGATGTACTGCTAGGTGTAATAACTGTGGTCGGTTTGCTGCTCGTAACAGGGGCTGGGGCGTTGGGTGATCTGATGCAGTATGCCATTTCTGTTCTCGGGTGAGTATACGCACTCAATAAAAGTAGCAAATAACGCCTTACCTGTCCAAAGATTTGCACAGGTCGAGCCTACAGCTGGATTCATCTTGAAGAATTGAGCCAAAGTCAGCTCGAACACAATTAAAACATCATCGCTAGCAAATATTCAGTCAGTAATAGGTCTTTTTAGGGGTTCACCGTGAGCTACTAACCATGTGAAGTCCTTAGGTACGTCGCTAAACTCAGTACAATTCGTATCATATCCTTCCTGATTCCTTAGGTCAGAAAATGCCTGATCAAAGTGCCAAACTCAACTTACCCTGATCGGGAATTCGAGCGATGGCCCTACTTCAGACGGAGGTGGTGGCAATTCAAAGTAGAATCTACCACAATAGCGAACCCCAGGCTTGAAGCTACAGCTGGCAGCTTCAGTATCGTTGCCCAATTTGGGGTTCCAAGTTAGTAGTTCTGACAATTCTACGCCGTAAACGGCCGCTGCAAGGTCACACTGGTGGCGAAAACTAGTTCCTGATATATCAGTCTCCATCTGTGATGCTTCAAAATATTGATAACAGTCATCTCGTGTATCTTCTGCAAAAGCCATTTGTGTAGATGTTGGTGTTGTCGTGGCAGGCTTGGTACTGGTAAAAGTAACTTTGGTGACTACAGGTTGGGGTACGAAGTCAGTGTATATTGCACATAGATTTTTTAGGGTGATCCACGTACAGGGCAATCCCGTAGGTCCAGGAGTATGATATCCTGGTCGTCCAGAGTAGGTATTGACTGCTTTGTCAGCCGCAAACTCGAAGATTCTGATTTGTGTCCTACTCACTGTCGCCTACTGGTGCTACACAATAGCTGATATCCAGTAAAAGGTTGGTACAATTCTCATTGATGGACGGGTTCAGAAACACAAAATCTGACAGTGATATCGAGTACTTCAACGTTACGAGATTGCAATAGTCACCGCCCTCGACGTTGTACCACTGCCCACACTGGCGATTCGATTCATCCTTTGCATTAGTAGGGACAGGCGCTGCGCTGACAGCAGTACTTGGGGCTAGAGGAGGCATTGCAGGTGGAGTTACATATGCCACGCCTGGGTTGGAAACGCATATGGACGTTCCGTTCATCTTGTATAGGTTGTGGCAACCAGCGTTTATGATCTGATTATGTCAGAATAGCTGCTTGTTAAGGAGATCGATACATCCTGTACTCACCGGGTTCCATGCCTTCAATTGCGCGATGGTGATATTGTGTGACATGGCCATGACTTCGCAGGTGTCGGCCGGCTGCACTGTGTATATTTGACATGTGTTTTTGATGCACAGTGCACCATTCTGAGGGAAATTGGCGCAATAAGCGGTGAGAGAATTATCTGACAGGAGCCATGCGGTTCCTATTCCCTGAGACTTAGATATCTTGTAGCAGTCGTCGCCCGATTGAATCTGGTATTCTTTGCCACTGCAGGGCGATGGTGTTGGAGTCGAGCTGATGACTGGAGGTCTACGAGGTATGAGTAACGCCTTCGCCGAGTACAGGTCTACTTACTGGGAGAAAGGCAGCGTGGAAATAGTTAGTGGATAATCTGTCACACTGCAACTCGATGTTTTGGACTCGTATATAGAGCTCTCCCGAATCTGCGGCCCGTCATAGTATGGGGAGCCGGCCTGCTTTTGCAGGTTCTTAATGAAACATAAATCGCAAGGTCCAGAGGGCTCCACGCCACTTGGTGGAGCATTGTCCCAACCTATTGGGCTTTCTGTGCTAGTCAATACATATTCAATGTTGATATGCATGCCACTCACGCCCAGGATCTGCTTGTACCGCAGCAGCTGCTGCGACTACATTACACCACCGGTCTGCGTCCTTCAGGCAAACGAGATCATGGTTGAAACGCATGACATTCGGAATCAGCGCCAGTGACGCATCATCTACCTCGTCATATGCGCTCCATGTTTGCCCGGCGCAAGCTTTTGTCACATCGTCCTCATATCGTTGAAGTGCTGTAACGCAGGCGCTTGTGCATGCTTCTTCAAGCACCGAGGGTGGATAGTAATATCCACTAGCAAAGCTAGCAACAGTTGGAGGGCATTGATTGACGTCTGTCAAAAGGGCCGTTGCACAGTTGGTAGTCAAGTTGGATGGGATAGTTTGGTTATTGAAAAATGGAATAGCACTTGTCGATGGGAGACACCAAAGGAGTGGCAAAAGCCGTAAGAACATTTTGGATTTTGATAAGAATAAATTCCCAGGTGAATTCTGGATTTTCCATTCATAAAGTCATCTATGATAACAAAAAATGGACATTAGAAGAGATTCGGCAACTAAGAAAAATGATGCGGGATATTCAGATGCATTCTGCGCCAAGACGCGGAAGGTAGTGTAGTTGCATGATAGGGCAGGAATATATCCTGATCATGCATCATCTGACTTTTATGCAGGGCCTGAAGATACTGTTCGGTCCGGATAATGTACCTGCATATATCGGTGGCCTGGCGTCGGTGTGTGTAGGTCGAATACAGCGACGGAACACACTCGGTCAGCGCTAGGAACCAGGGACGGGAGCACCCTTGATGCTATCTCAGTAGTCAAATTGGACGTTTAGCTTGGTGGAAGAAATTTTCGTAATTAATCAGTAACCTCTAGGGGCCGTAAGAGGTTCAGCGACAAACCATAAGCGTCAAGGCCAGTAATGATGTGGGGCAAAGGTAGAGATGGATCTTGATGCGGCCCGCCTGACGGGACGCCTCATGCCAAGCTTGGACCCTGAAGCTTGGCAAGACCAACGAGCTGTATACCATATTTGTGACAGTTTATTGTACTTCTCCTGAAGGATTATCAAGACGGCATATTATTCGCGGTTAGCGCAAGAGTATATCGCAACTCCATCGCTCTGATGGCCTTTACCGGTACAGGGAACAGGTCTGGTCTTACTAGTGCAGGTTCATTAGATATCTACCCCTGAGGGACCCATCCTAAGATCAGCAAGTGGTTATCGGTATCTCCTAAAGAACGGGGCGAACTTATCGATGATGTAAATTCCTGGGAGTTTCCAAGTTGCAGACCTCAGCATACAGGTAGACTGCAAAGAAAAGGATCTCGGAGGGTCACTCTGGTCACGACATTGATCACTCTCATCTGCCTGGAATTGTCCTTTAGCGGTCGTAGATCTTCCTTATTATACGATGATATTGACATACCTTATATCCTTGAACGTAGCAGTCGACAAGAACTTTGTATCTCTTGGCAGACGATCTCCGAGATGCCAATGCGGCCAAGAGCAAATTAACATGGGACATCATGGTTCTGCCGTATGGTCAAAAATCCTGCCGAATAATCACCTGGACAGATATGGATCTAAGTCCGGTGAACATAGCCCCATATGTAGGTACGCAAATTTGACGGCTAGAGTTTGCCACCACTATAATCCACTTACATTCAGGCGTCCAGTATGTCAAAGGGCAAGTCTAGATTGAAGTCTTGATACTGATCTATGTAAGTGATAGGTAAAATTGGTAGGATAGTTCCGACCATTATTCTCTAAGTTCTCTCTTTTCCAGCCGTTCTTCGCAGCCATTCCTGCATTGCACTCTGGAATTCGACTTCAAGATGGCTCAGTCGACGTCTACGTTCACACTGTGGCTCATTTTTCTTTACATTTTCTCTTTCAATGCTACAGCACATCAATCGCATGCGCGCTTTCACAAAAGGTCTCATGGACCACCAACTTGCGTCAATCCCACCTCGTATGTACACCAATCCTTGGAGTCTAAATTCTCGGAAACTCACCTATATTTAGTCCATTTGACTATTCTGCAAAACCCAAACATGAAGCACGTGCGCCTGTCTGTCCTCATATCGCCCCGAGGGCTCTGCAGCCAAGAGCCGAAGAAGACTTCTCATGCTCCGAGTCTAAACCTTGCAAGAACGGAGCTTGTTGTCCCAAAGCGACTGGCTATTGTAATTATGGTGAGAAATACTGCGGTACCAATGGACAAAGCCCCAACGAGGTTTGCTGGTCAAACTGCGACGCCAAAGCAGAATGTGGAAGAGATTCCAAGGTCCCTGGTGCAAAGTGCCCACTGAATGTTTGTTGTTCAAAATTCGGGTACGTATTCAAAACAAAATCAGGGGAAACCTGCTTATATTCCATAGATTTTGCGGTATGACCGATGAGTTCTGCGACAAAGGTACAGAAGAAGATCCCGGATGTCAGAGCAACTGCGAACAGCCAGGCTCTGGCGGCTCAGGTGGTGATGTTCAAAAGAAAGTCATCGGATACTATGAAGCCTGGGCCCATGACAGAAAATGTCAAGGAATGGTGAGTAACTCCAGCCACAAAAAACAACGCAACATGCTTACGCGTTCTACAGGACTTCAAGGACATTCCTACAGGCGCCCTCACTCACTTGTTCTTTTCCTTTGGATACATTTCCCCCGGCACTTTTGACCTTGTTCCGATGGATGACCTCGATCCTGATCTGTTCTCAAAGTTTACCGACGTTAAGAAGTCAAATCCTGGTCTGAAAGCCGTCATTGCGCTTGGAGGCTGGACCTTCAACGACAATGGTACCGCAACTCAGCCAGTCTTTAGTGACATGGTAAGCACTGCTGCTAACCGCGCCTTGTTCATCAAAAAGCTATTTGCATTCATGAGGCAGTATGCTTTTGATGGCGTGGACTTCGACTGGGAATATCCGGGTGCGACCGATCGGGGCGGAAAACCCGAAGACGGCAAGAACTTCGTCACCTTTTTGAAAGAGCTCAACGAGGAGAATGATAAGCAGCTTATGCATTATGTGGTCTCCTTTACCGTACCTACCAGTTTCTGGTATCTAAGACATTTTGATCTGAAGGCCGTGGACTACGTCGATTTCGTCAACGTCATGAGCTATGATCTGCACGGAGTAAGTGAAGCCAGAATCCCACCACCAACTCAGGTCCTAGTCGCAACCACTTTTATACTATTGAGCAAGCGTTGATTTGATTCTCTAGGTTTGGGATGCAACCAATCCAATTGGCAACAACATATACGGGCATTCGAATTTGACAGAAATCAAGCTAGCCTTTGATCTATTCTGGCGCAACAACATCAAGCCGGAGAAGCTTCATCTTGGACTGGGGTTCTATGGGCGAAGCTTCCAATTATCAGACCCTTCATGCTACAAGCCTGGCTGCAGTTTCAAGGGTGGAGCATCTCCAGGTCCTTGTTCCGCTAACTCGGGTACTCTGACTTATAAGGAGATTCAGCAAATCATCAAACAACACAAGATCAAGCCCTATTACGGTAAGTAGCCACTGTACTATCCTCCAAAGTGGCTGTTCCACTGACTTCGTATTCCAATCTGTAGACAAGGATGCTCAAGTAAAGTACATCACCTGGAACCAAGATCAATGGGTATCCTATGATGATAAGGAGACTTTCAAAGCCAAGATTGAATTTGCAAACAAGCTCGGCCTCGGCGGCCTTCTCATTTGGGCGATCGATCAAGATACAGACGACTTGGAAGCGCTCAACGCCGTCGTGTCACCAAACTCCATCAAGGCATTAGCGCAGACCGCAGATGATGCTTCTTTTTGGGATGATGCCACTGTACCGGATTGTTACGTTACCGACTGCGGCGGCTCTTGCAAAGCCGGGTTCTTCAAGATCGAACAGCAACCCTGCGGTGGTGCGAAACCAGTGACACGCCACTCCAAAGAAAAGGACAGCCAGCTGTGTTGCCCTGTTTCTAGTGCACCGGATCCTGACAAATGTCATTGGCGGGGCGAAGCAGCAACCTGCAATGGCCATTGCCACGATAACGAGGTACTCTTACAGATGAACAAATGGGGCGATGGAAAGTATTGTGAAGATGGTAACAAAGCATACTGCTGCGAGTCTCCTGCTGCCAAGGGCCACGACTGCTACTGGGCAGGCGTGGGCAAAGATTGTAACAACGACGACGCGACAATGACCTTTTCTGGCACTTTTATGAGCACAGTCGCCGATATTGCAGATGCCATGTCTTTATTCGACACCGCTCTGGTGAAATGGCTGGATGCAGTTGACGTTGACCTTCAAAAGCGGTACTGCTGTCCGAAAAAGGACGCAAAGAATTGGAAGAATTGTCGATGGTATGGAGAGCCCGGATCTTGCTTTGATAACCATTGTCCAGTTGGGAAACAAGTGCAGCTCACCGACAGTCCATATGGTTTCGGTCAATCCTGTTTTCCGCGCGTGGAAAGAACGCGAGTCTACTGCTGTGACCCCACAGACGGTAAAGAGCTATTCCTCCCAGTTCCACTGGACAGACTGTTCAAGGATCCTCCAACCGGTGACGATGTAGACACGGACTTCGAACTCAACGTGGACGATACCTTTGGCGGCCAAAGTGACAGGACCGACGAAGATCCTTCCAATGCCGCATTCCAGTTCGTCGTACTGGCATCTCCTGAAGAGCTTCAACACTCCCTTGACAAACGTGATGGCTCTCATTGGGAGCTATACAACTGCGAAGGCGGATCAAGCGAAGAGGAGCAAACCATCCAGATGTTCTGCACAGATGTGTCAGAAGACAGTAATTGCCACAAGATTGGACTCGGACACGGTGTGCCAGGTACCATCCTTGAGATGCCAGCTGGCTGCGGAGCCGGTCGCTATGCAGTGGCCAAGGCCATGACACCTGCTGTGAACCAGACGATTCCGCATCATCTACGGAAGCGAGCATCACACATGCCAAAGGTGTATGATTTGACCTTTGACTACAATTTCAGGCGCGTCCCTCGCGATGTTGGAGACACGCAAATGCGGATAGACTTTTCGAACAAGAACGACTACTGGGATAATGTTGTCGCGGCTGCGAGCACAAAGCGCAAGGCCAAACGCTCCTTGTCTGACTTTGGCGGCAACCACAAGAGATGGCTTGAGGAAGAATGGCGAGACGATTATCACGGAGGTGCACTCAGCCGTGAAGAGCTTCACAAGCGATGGTTTGGATCCGATGTCCTAGCTTGGTTGACAAACTTGGTCAGCCCGAAGATTGAGAAGGAATTCACTCACGACGTCAAAGAGCAATTCATTGCCAAGATCATCGACGATGAAGTCACCTGTGGGACAGGACCGGCAAAGTTCGAGGCCCATGTTCTCGTACAGGCACTGACAGATGTCGAAATCTCCACCAGTTTTGGCTTCACGCTCATCACCAAGCTCAATTTCGACAATCCAGGCGGCTCTCTTGATCTGAGCCAGTCGTACCTCACCTTTAGCAACAATGGTAAAATCACTGCCGTCTTTACCCTCGAGGCCATGATTAAAGTCTCATACGAGTCCGGGGAGAAGACAATTCTTACACTGCCTTTCCCAGGCGCAACCTTCCGCGTCCCTGGCATCGTCACCATTGGTCCATCTGTCCGCGTCGTCGGCGAATTCAACGCCGGCCTCACACTCTCCGCAGAAATCGAGACGAAAATCGATCTTGCAGACTGGGACGTCCGCCAAACGTATCCCGCCGCTTCTACAGAATATGAGCCAAAGGCCAATAAGGAGCTGGATTCTGGAGAAACTGGTGACAAGAATGGTTTGCTGGAACCTCAATTCTATGCTTCGGTTTTGGCTTCAGGTAAAGCCGAAGCCCATCTCAAGGCCATCGCCGAGTTTGGAATTCGCTTTGATGACAGCTGGAAGGTCGGGGCGGCGACGGCAGGTGTTGTTGCTGATGGCTATGTCCGCATGGAGGTGGGAGCTGGCAAGAGCACTGAAGCATCATGCCCGTGGACATATGGCTTTTATGTCGGTGCCAAGTTGTACGCACAAGTGGATACCCCTTCAGCATTCGGATGGGGTAAGAAAACCTGGGATCTTCCGGGCTCTGGTGAGGTCGGTCTTCCCGAGGGTGGCTCTTGTCCCGACCTTCGAACAGGGCAGCCGACCAAGCGTAGCCTCCAATCGATTGGTAGTAGGCATCCGTTATACGACGTGAATGGGTACTCGGGCACTTCTGATAACGAAACATTCTCCCATCGACTTGGTAAACGCGTCACGCCGTGGGGTCCACCATTCCACATTCCGCTGCAGGATCTGCTGTGCCCAAGCCCCGAGGGCAGTGCTGATAACACGGGCACTGCATGCAGTGAGCTCTCTCATGTGGTCGGAAGTGACTCATTGTCCAAGCGTGCGACTGGCGATAGGACTTTGCACCACTTCGAGGCCCGATCAGTCGACCACAAGGACCAAGACTTTTGCGACAAAGACGGTGGCAAGATGAGTATTCGGAGCTCAAACTTCCATACCTCTGGTACAATTCTTGGTGTAAGTAACATTCATGGGGCTTCGAGGGCATTGAGACCCGTGCGAGGCCCAAAGGTCTACATTGCTCATGTCGCTAACTTTCACGTCAACCAGGTACTTCCAAACACACTTACCTATGGCTACAGCAACTATAACGACTGCCTCGACTTTGGATTCGGCCAAATCGCCACACCCACAGACACGACCAAGTTCGCCACCGAGCACATTCTCGAATTCCAAATGGTCAAGAACTTCTTCAACACAATCGCCAGAGGGTCGCAAAATGTCAAATGCTACAATATCCAGACAAACATCAACATGTGCAAATGCATCAAGAGTTTCTGGTTCGCCGCCAAGGTCGCCGACCGAGTCACCATCAACGGCCTCTCCAAGGACGCCATCAACTGGGTCGGCGCCGTCTTCCCCAGCCACGAAAACGCGTGGGGCAACGAACTGGTGCTGCTCGACGCCGAAGTCAACAACCTCAAAGAAGGCTTCTGGGGCGTCTCCGTGGCCCGCAATGCCGACACCCTAGACACCTACACCGGCGACGGCACCAAGGCCTTCAAATACGTCAAAGACAGCATCGCCGCAATCCGCTACCACATCGACCCGACCATCCGGGCGCGCTTGATCGCCCAAAAGGATCGCGTCGGCAATATGCTAAACGAGCTCGAGACTATACATCTCCCGCGCATCACAAAGACCATAGGCAACCAGCAGGTCACGTGGGCTAGTCTGGGCTTGCAGGCCAAGTGGAACACGTATATGCGGACGCAGAATGCACAGGCTATTACCACGAGCTATACGCTCGTGGAGAAGTACCTGGCCAAGCTGGTGGATGGGTATACGACGCCTGCGCAACGAGATGCGGCGAATCGGGGGACACCGGACGCGGATATTTTGAAGGGATTGATTCAGAAGATTGATGCGTTGAACAATGACTGGACGAATAATAGGCCGGTTTGGAACAATCCTTTTTAGTTTTTTCTTCTTCTATCAAGGTAGGGACATGTTTGGGTGTGTTGGGGGCTTGTAGGTATGGCGCTCTGTTTGTTTTTCTCTTCGGGAATTGTGTTGTACTAGTAGCGTTACAGCACGAATGAATATTTTGAGTTGTTTGGGTTTGCGAGTGATGGTGACTACCAATGTATCATTTTGTCAGGGCGACGACTGCATGCCCACATAACGAGTAAGAGCACTCAACTTGTGAGTAATCTACCAAACAAACAATGTCCAATCTTGAACAAAGAAACAAGACTACTTCCAACATAACCAAACGAAGAAGCAATAAATCGAATAAAGTAAGAAACAATGGCAACCATTTACAAACAGGCCTATATACATGTACATGCAATCAGTAGAGTACATACATCCATAGTTGAACCAACGAGGCGCGCGTAACAGATTGATCTCAACCATTACCCACTCTTCTCTCTTCCCTCTTCCCTTTTCCAACTCACCAAACCCATCTCAGCCAATCAAATCCGACCCCACCCCCAAGCAAACGCACAGACCCAATGACGGCATTGATAACGCTAGCGCGTCTTAGTGCCAGATCATGGTGCCCAAAGACCAGGGAGGGAAACCAAGGGAGGGGGAAACCTGGGGTAGCGTGCTTGGCGGGGGAGCTTGAGTGTGACGGCGGGTGCGGGGAGAGGGGGGGAGGGGAGGTTTGCGATACGTGTGCGCATGTGTGTGTATGGGTATTTGAGTGTGTGTTTAAAATCATCATCATCATTGCTTTGATTTTACATTTTTGTATTTTAGTATTCACAGGCGAGGTCTACAGAGAGCGTATTGTGGTATGCGGGATGCATATACAAAATTGATTTCAGCAGGGGAACCTGCAAACCGGACTTCGCTTACAGCGACCGGTCCTACGCTTCGAGCC